TCAGCGGCTTTCACTTAAATGTCTCATTGCAACTTTCGTCAGCTTCAGAAATGCCACAGAAAAAATTAGTTTCGCAAAATTAGAGCAATTTAACTGAGCAATTTTTTGGAAAACTCTTACAAAGAATTTTCCAGGTGCAAGCTATGGATTTACGATGAAAATTTGACAATAGAAGCATGACAGCCCTGAATAAATTTCAGTCACAATAAATTAAAAATGGACAGCAATGTGCAAATAGGTATTCTGTATTATTTTAGAGTGATAAAAAGGTCAAATACATAAGTGAAAACTTTTCACAAATAACCACACTAATTATGTAGTTACTCATGTATGTCATTCATCCAAAGAAGTTTCACATGTATACAAAACCAGTTTCATGGAAGTGCTAAGCAATACTTGGCAGCTATGGCTGTGTTAGCAATGGCAAATAAAACTGGGCCTGTACAGTGAAAGAGTTTAAGAATATTCCATATTTTACATGTTCCAGGGGCTTTCCACTTTGAACTAGTTCTCAGATTTAATCTTAAAGATTCAAGGCTTACTAGTGGCTGAAGTGTATTAGGCACATTCCTGCAGCTTTCACATTATTTTGAGCAAAAGGAATCCCATCCAGGTCACTCCCTAGGATAACTCCACAATGCAAATCAAAGTAGAGGCGAACAGATTTAATTCAAAACTGCATGGCTGATCCAAATAAAAACAGTAGGATAACACACTCATTGCTGTATGTTACTTACTAAGAAAAAAAAAAAAAAAAAAAAAATAAGCGTTTAAAGCAAAGAGAAATCTAACTTCTGAGAGGCCAGAGCTGAATTTAAGAATTACTGTGATATAAGAGGAAACAAAAATATTTCAAACTTGATACAAGATCTTTTACACTCAACTCTATGAAAAACAAGTTTATCACACCCATGTGGGCATGAATCACTTGACTGGAACGGTATGCACGTGAAACTGAAAGCAGACATACAATTTCATGACAAACTGGAGTCAGACATCTATTTACCAAAATTTTAGATATTTTAGTCAGTAATATTAAATAACTGTCTCAGTACTGGCACACAGCAACGAAACAAATTAATACATATTCTCTCAACTCTTGTCAGATAGCAAGAGGGAATAAAATTACAGACGAAATATTTGGTAAGTTTGAGCAATCTGACTACACTGGTTAACAGTTAAAATGAAAATATATTACTCATAACACTGAGGCATTGCTGGTAAATGGAATAATTATTGTGATAGCAATCACTGTTGCCTCAAGAATGTCCAAACATTCCCTGCATTAAGCCTTTTGTCACCCAATCTCATCTAGCCATCAGATTCCTTTCCTGTTCCTCATCATGAAAACAGTTAGGCACAGAAAACATGAAGATTAGAATCACATTCTTTCGGAGGAGTACTTTGCACATTTTCTGAATGGAAGTATTAGTTGCTGCATATGGTTTCTTGAGATACCAAATCAGAACTGCATCTTCATCCAGCAACAGTGAGATGATTTGCACCAGAGAGAACAGACACTTATAGAATCCGATCCCTGATATTTCTACTAGATTTCTCCATCCTCCCCACTCCATTAAAATACAAAATTCTAGTGAATTTACATCATCTAAGGATTTGTTATAATGAAATTATCAGTCTAAATTTTGTAATGAGTTGTTAATTATTATACTTATGGTTTTTATTTTCTTTCTTAATTGAGAAAGCTAAATATTATTCCTTCATTATTTCAGGTTACAGTTAGTTACCAAAAAAGCAAAGATAAAAGCATTCCAAATAATTTATAGATGACAGTCCTATATTTTCTAAAATGTGGCCCAATTCTCTAAATGTAGTTCCATGTCCCACTGAATTTCTCTCTTGGATTGGTTTATTCAAATGCAGAGGATTTAAAAAAAAAAACCAAGCCTACCTATAGTCCAGGCAATAATCACACCATAACCTCTAATATATGAAACATTTTTCTTAAAGCAGAGAGTCCAGTGGTCACAAATTGCCACATTCCTTCCTCAAGGACATTATTTTGGTACCTACCAGTTGAGAAATACCTGATAACAACCAAATTGAAGTGGTCTGAGCAGAGGCATGACAATATTCACTGACTACATCACACAAGTAGATATAATCATACTTTGATTCCAAGGTCCATGGGCTACAAAGAAGAAAGAAGGCATCACTAAGATCTTGAACAAGGGTGCATAAGCAGAGCTACACTTTTGGAAGGATGTGGAAGAAATTAACATATTTTCAGAAATTAGAATCTTCCAACCTGCAGTGTGTATCTCAAAGAAGCAGACCACACTGAAACAGATAATGGTTTAAAGACTGAAGTTGAATTTTGACATTGCCACAAAAGAAGATGCCATGACTTCATTTGCTCTCTCTCACAGCACACTAATTGTGGATGGACAGCGTCCAGATTCTCACTAATATTTATGCATTTATTCAAAAATTAACTAACAAGGAAGAACTGTGACAGGGGATATGCTGAGAGAGCGTATTGGTTAAAGTAACACAGAAAAATTCTTTTAAATTGTGAAAGCCAGAGCATATGGTATGTATCTGTAGGCCAAACTCTGCCTCAACCCAGTTTTCACCATGTCCACAACTGATGAATATCCCTGTGCACTCCCTAAGTTTTATTAAGTTTTTCTGATCTTTAATGACATTGTGGAGTAGCTATTTTTGAATATTCAAAATTCAACTGAAGTTTCTTTTTCTTTTCCTTTCATGGAAAAATACAGTTATTCTTCAGCATCTGAATGTATACGATAGCAAGCAAAAGGAACGCTTTATATATCTGGATTTCTTGATGATACCCCACAGAACTATAGAAGAAGAAAAGTTTGCTCCCAGGATATAAGGTATCTTTATCAGTTAAACATATACAAAGCACATTAAAGTATGCTGTTACAAATGAGAAATTCCTTCTCATCAGAATGCACTCAATACTTTATTATACACACAAGATAAGCCATCTTTTCCTGATTAAGGGATGTTTAATTCTAGGTCAACCCAGATTTCAAGTATCTCACTATACATATATAAAGTCATTTATAGGTCAATACTATGAATTTCAATCAAAGCTTTGAAAATCAACACCAAATTCTAGAGAAGTCAGTGTAATTTTGGATGTCCTGGGGGTAGAAGGATAGAGACTGTTGAAAGTCCCAGACACACAATCTTAGTTTTTTCAGCCCTGGAATATCTGAATTACCTTACCCTGTAACCACACACCGCAAAGCTGACAACAGAAATGCTGGAATATAGACTGGAAATGTTATGAACTCACCTTTTCCTCTTTCCACCCCCACTTCCCCAACAAATTTAGACTAGAAAAAAGCAACAGCTATCCATATTAAAAAAATCCATATTATCCTTAAATCTAAGTTCATTAAAATAAAAATTATGTATTTCAATGATGAATTCTGCTTTGTCTTTATGTGAACTGTACATAAGCTTTAAAACTGAGCATGTGTCTTGATAGGTGTGGCCAGTGCACAAACCATAATCATAATGCTTGTTTGTACCTTACTGATCCCTAAGAAAGCTCTGAGGTTTAATTGTGTCATTTGGATTTTCTGCACATTACTTGTCAGGACAGATCATTATTAGTTTCCTTACTTTTAATTAAAAAAAAGAAAAAAAGCATGTATTTACAATAGGACATTCACTTCACAGTGAAAACTCAGTTTGAAGTGGTACTGTGAGAATGCGACCGCTTTCCATGCCAGTTCACTGACATACAACTTCAGTAACTTTGATGTATGGCCTACATGCAGAATTTAACCAGCATGTCCAGTTGACCACGTGACAGATTAATAGCAACACACTGAAAATAAACACATACCACAGGTACTGATGGTTCTGGCAAAAATGTGATGCTAGCAATTCAGTTCTGCATGCTTTATCTTCCGCATTTAATCTTTTTTATTATTGTTTTTTACTGTTTAGAAGTCATGAGTCATTCTCTAGAACAACAACAACAAAAAAACCCCAAAAAATCCCATCCAACAATAAGATAAGTATAAGCCAACTTGCTATGCCTCCCTGCCAAAACATTTTTTATTTAGCTACGGATACTTTCTGGTTTCTGAAACAAGTCTTCAGCTTTGATTACACATAGCTATTGATTTTCCTAGTTACAAAAACAAGACTGCATTTTTAATCCACAGTTGCACAACTGTTACCAGGCTCTGCTCCAGTTAACCAGTTATGAATAAAGTTACAGTTCTTGAATAAGATTATTTGTCTGTTTTTCAAAGACTTTTTAAATTCCTGTCAGAATTCTGGAAAATCATAGCTGTAAATGAATAAACAAAGAAAAGTCTCATCTTCACAGACCAGGGCTTGACAGGCAAACATACTTGCCAGTCTTGAGGATAACCTAAAATATACTTTGTCAAACTTCCATACATGAAGGTGATCAGAGTATCAGTGTATTTTCTTCAAAAGCAAATAAGACATAACTTGAATAATTTATCCTTAAGATTAATGTGCTTTTAAACAACCTTTTGAACACCTGATATGAAACAAGTTGTATTCTCAGAAACTGATTTTAGCTGCAGCATCACAGAGTAATCTAAGAAAAAAAAAACAGCAAAATGATCTCCAACCTGAACAGTGCTCTTGCTATTGGACCAACCTTCCATAATTTACTTCAAGACCTGGAAGGACAGCTTTACAGGAAAGAATTTCTAAACGCAAACACAAAGCTGAGAAAATCAAAAGCGATTTTTAAGGAACAACATCTGCTTCTGAATGACTGCAGTTTTTCAAGTCATGAAAATCAAGGCTGACAGAAGCACTTTTCCTTCCTTTTTACTTTTTCATGGGAATTTTGGGTTAAAACAATAAAGTGGCGAAGTGAAAGTGCTACAGAGATACACCACGGAAGGGAGGGGCAAAAAAAGAGGGGTTAAAACCCACAAGTCAAATCAGTAAATGTATCATTCAAATATAACGCGCAACAATTACAGAGAAACTTTAAAGCAACTTACCTCGAGGGAGGGAGATCAAAGAGCTGTTTTCAGTCGGAGCTTGCTCTGGCCCTCCAGGCCCCGGAGGAAGAGGTTCTCTCACTTGGGACATCTGCCAGCTCTCTCGCCGAGTAACAGAGAGAGCCTGCACCCCTCTCCAACAAAACTAACACGCGACCCTGAAGGAACAAGCAAATGAAAGGACTCGTTAATGTATTTTACGCAGAAAACTCACGGCTCGGGGCGAGGGACTGAAGAGGGACAGAAGGGAAGCGGCGGCAACTTTCCGGCGCGGCGGCGGGCGCGCCCCCCGCCCCCTGCAGCGAGCACCCGCGGGGCCGGGGGGCGGGAGCGG